TACGAAGGTCAGTTTTATACAAGTAGAAGTGTGTATTTACCTGATAGTAGGCTGTCAGTAATGGCTACGCCTCTCTATTTGGTCTGGTAGATCTCGGCAGACTGGCAACTTTAAAAGTAGCTCTTGGTTCAAAAAAGGTTGGGCACCCCTGATCTAAACCATCATAATGATAATGATGGTTTCAATACATCAACTCAGTCAGACTTCAGACAGGCCGCTCTCCATTGTGCTCTTGGCTGTCACATCTTATGAAACTCTGAGGAATCAGAAACCAGGAAATGGATAAAAAAGTTCACAACTTTTGAAGAAGTCACTTTCAACTCCAGGAAATAAATACATTTGTATTTACAGATTATTTTTGGACATACAGTTCAACAGAATAAATGATTAAAGTGTTAAAAAGCAGAGTCTGTTGTTAAAACTCACCCTGTTTTCCTCCTGCTGCTCTGCCGAAGTGTAAAATGGAGTCTGGCAGTTTGACTTCCTACTTTCACTTTGAACATCCTTCCCTGTCTGTAGCTCCTCCCTTTTTTCATAACCAGCTTCATCACATGGACAGGTACAACAGGGACTATTTTCAGTTGCTCTCACAGTAAGACGGTTACAAAAACACGTATAGGAACGATATAAATAGACATGAAGCTAAAAACAAGGAAAACAAAGTTATTGAAGAAAAAGTAATAAAACCACAAAGTGAAAATAAATCAATAAACATCCTGCATTCAAAACCTTACTTGTTGTTGTTTTGGGTACTCTAGTGTTAACTGTGCATTGTTCCATATTTGTTTGTGGAATAGTATTACTGCTGCATGAATGTTCAAGTTTCATTTAGTAGACTATTTAAACTCCTTTATATACTCTTGGTTTGTCTAATCAGCAGCCATGCAGATTCTATGAGATCAATATGTGTGTTGTCCTGTGAGATCCATGTATCTCTAAAAAGTCAACTGTTCATGAGTTTTTCAGAAAAACAGCTCCTTTATATTCTTGGTTTATTAAATCTGCAGCAATGCAGATCAAAGAAGCTGACAGACTATGATACTATGAAATACATAAAGAAATACTTGATCCTAGTTCATCACAAATATTTTAAATCGTCTGGAGATAAGTGGTTATCGCTGCACAGGAGGGGAATGAAAATCTGTAATCTTACAATAACCAAAGCTGTCAGACAAATGTAGTCGGGTGACAAGTGAAATAATGACCAGATGTAGTGAAGAAGTGTACAGCTGATACAGTACCTAGCATTTGTTCTGAAGTACAGAACTTGAGTATCAGTACTTAGTTACTGTTTTCAGTAACCATGCCAGAGGGAGAGGTTGGAGAAGGTTGTGTCCCAGGTGTGAAGATCTGCAATCATAACGTGGTGTTGATATGCGGAGATTATCCTGCTAACTAAACGTGTAAGTATCAGAAACGTTTGTTTGACACAGAGATTATTTTCTGCAATAATCACATGGAGAAATCCCATTGGCTTTTTGACAATGGACCCCTTGTGTAGATAACTCCTGGGTCAGCATACACAAATGCATCATCACTGCTGCACCAAATAGTAGGCTACTTATATTCACCCTCCCCACCACTCTCACAGTCTAATGTTAGTGACAGGATGAAAATGTCCTGAAACCTCATGAGGACATCAAATAACTGCAGTGTCTCTTGGTGTAGATTTCTGCTCTATGAGGAACTACAAAGTACTGAAGCATATCAAAGGTAACTCCAAACTAAAGCTCATGCCAAAATGTAGAAACAGAAATAAATGTACCTTAAATTAGCTAGTGAACATTAGCTATTAATTTAACAAGCTAGCAAGCTATCCAACATGCTCATGGTGGATATATAAAGGATGAATAAGAGAACTGGATACTCCGTTCATTCCTGTGAGTTATTCAGTGGCGCTTGAAGCCCAAAGTGGAGGGAGTAGAGACTCTGAAAGTACCCGGATGTGGGCCCATAGAGCATGCGCAGTTGAGTTTCTCTTAAGCCCCGCCTCTGATCTCCCGCTCTGTGTCAGTCAGATCGAAGCCGCATAGAGAATGCATATTAGTCCATTTCAGAATAATATATATGATATGTTTTATAATGATTATTATTTGCCTGTACAGCACTTTGGTCTGGAGGTTTAAAGTGCTTTATAAATAAAGTTGTATTGTATTGTATTGTATCATGAAAGTGTTCTCAAAGCTGGTGAAGGAGCAGCTAGTTTGAAGTACTTTGTATACTGCAGGGTAGCTGGTGGATTTACTCCAGGTGGAACTAAAGTCTGATTTAACACTTGGTTATATTTCACATCATTCATCCACATCTGTGAAGTAACTAAAGGTATTCAATACATGTAGTGGAGTGAGTTACATTTTCAACATATTGGCCACATTTGTTCTACATCTTGAATCCCTACTTTGAATTACTACTTTACAAATTGTTGATATTAATTATTTTTTTAATTCTGAAAGCTTAGAGATATTAATATTTTTACTTAGGCTAAGTAACATCTCAATGCAGGTGTTTTATGAGTTTCGGAGTATTTATTTAGGGTTTAGTAGTAGTACTTTTAGTTCAGTAAAGGACGAGTAAATGTGTATAGCATATTAAAAAACATAAGGCAAGGTTTTTTCTCCAAACAGAATCATGTTTCAAGTCAGCGTTTTATTGTGAAACCCGGATGCAGCGTGTTGTTGCTGAGTGTGCAGAGATCAGATCAGCTGATGGGAACTGACTCACCTCTTCCCGGACAACATGTCGACACATCCAGCCAGAAAGAAGAAGAAAGAGGACTTCATTCTTTAATCATCTCCGCGAGGAACAGAGCGAGCTGCTGGATCCGGATTCAGGTACAGCTCAGATGTACACACGAGGGCAAACAACACGCGCTGTTTCTTCACTCTGGGTTATCACTTGATATCAGTTTGACTCGATTAACACTCGTTTGACTAATCGTTACATTTAATGAAATCACTAGATCTTTAAATCTGAGTTTAGAAAGTACTACTTGATATCTAGTGTATTCCAGAGATGTGCTCTGACGTGTTTGTATGGAAACAAGTCACATATCATGAACAAAGTCATACAAAGAAAGACTAATTGGAATCGTAGTCGACACCTAGGATTGAGTTGAAGAATTGATTCCATCATTGATCAAAATATCTGTAAAACTGATCAAATCATGGGAATCAAAACTTTCCAACTTATTACTTCAGCAGGAAATAAGCGTGTTCTAACAATGAAGTTATTCAGCATGACACGTGACTAATTACCTAATTCCTTGATTCTAATTAGCAGAGAAATAGGACTAATACTGAGAGAAATGCAAAAGCCCCACTTTAAATATTATTTGGACCAAATGTGTCCTCATTAGTTTCTTGAAAACAAGTTGTTCAGCATGAGGAAAGCCAATAAAGACTAAGCCACCAACAATCTTCCTCAATGTACGCTACATTTAGTCGACTCATTGGTTCCATAAGATCTGAACGAGAGATGTTTTATTATCATTTTCCTTTTTTCTTTTAATTTTGACTTATTTTCCAAATGTTTAGTTTTCTCAGAATTAACTTTTTTACTGCGAATTTTGACTTTTCAAAAAACACAATACAATGAAAAATGATAACTCAGTACAAACATTAAAAAAAGTAATTCATATTACAAAAAAACATGATATATATATATATAATATATATATCATATAGATATTTTTAAGTGCCTGGATGTATATATATATATGGAAACACTTAGCCTTTTATAAGTTTATAAATTATGCTATATCTATATCAATATATAGATATTATGGCAGAGAACAAATATAGATATTAGATTGAATACAAGAAGAAAGACAGGAAGAGGGGATCTAATTATTATATTTGTTGTCATACAGACTCCTGTGTGACTCCATGCCCTCCTCCTCCTCCTCCTCTTCCTCCTTCTCGCGGTGGTGAAGAGTAACCAGATTAAAGATGTCCGCTGTGGTGGGGGGGGTCTCCCCCACCGCCCTCAGGGCTCCTGGGGGGGCTCTGGTTCTCCTGCTCTCCGTCACGCTGCTGTCTGGATTCAGCCCGCTGTGCATGGCTCGGGGAGGGAGCTGCTGCAGCATGGACCCACGTAATCATGATCATAATCAAACTAACTAATTACAATACTACAAATAATAATAGTAGGAATTAAAAAGAATAATGATGATAATAATAATGATGATAATGTTAATGAAATAATAATATATGGACCCAGGTCATAATAATAATTATACAACTATTACTCTATGTACTTTAACTAAGTTTTACAGATGATACTTTTACCTAAATTAGGTTTTGAATATATATATATATTAGGGCTGTCAAGTTAACGCATTAATAACGCGTTTTTTTTGCGTTAACGCATTATTAATGCGTTAACTTGACAGCCCTAATATATATATATTCAAAACCTAATTTAGGTAAAAGTATTATCTGTAAAACTTAGTTAAAGTACATAGAGTAATAGTTGTATAATAATTATTATGACCTGGGTCCATATATATATATATATATATATACTTGTATACTTGTAGTGGAGTGTTTTCACAGTGAGGTATCAGTACTGAAGCAGCAGGTTGATCCCTGAGCGTTGTCTTGCAGGTTTTCGGCACAGGCTGCTCAGCCTGATCAGCTGTTTTGCAGGAGGAGTGTTTTTGGCCACCTGTCTGCTGGAGCAGCTGCCGGACTACCTGCAGAGCATCGAGGAGGCCTTCAGCAGCGCGGGGGTCACCGTAAGATGACATAACTAACACACACACACACACACACACACACACACACACACACACACACACACACACACACACCACACACACACACACACACACACACACACACACACACACACACACACACACACCACACACACACACACACACACACACACACACACACACACACACACACACACACATTTAATTAACTTATGTGTTGATTTTGTCATAAGGTCAAGAGACAAACACACTCTCGGTGTTTCTCAATGTCGAGGAAAGCTGCTCCAGAGCCACTATTTCAAGGATACTACGTCATCGAGTGCCGTCGAAGGACTGTTCCAATGTCCAGCATACATGTGCTACCAAGCAAGCCTCCTCGACATTGAGAAACACACACACACACACACACACACACACACACACACACACACACACACACACACACACACACACACACAGGAACGTCACATGACTTCACATCACCACCGCTAAGCTAAAGGCGGCTAATGTTTGTTCTCCTTTAGACACTTTCGATATCAAATCCGATAGTCATCGTTCACCCTCGTCAGCGGCGTCTTCTTCTCTCCCCACAGCTTCAGTTCCCTCTGCCTGAGTTCATCATGGCGATGGGTTTCTTCCTGGTTCTGGTTCTGGAGCAGGTCATCCTGGCCTTTAAGGACCAGCCTCAGGTGAAGGAGTGTCGCGCTCTGCTGCCGAACTCCAGCGACAACTCCCAGCGCCACGGCGCGCCAGAGGAGTCTGGCGGCAGCCTCTTCCACGCGGACCTGAGCGCGCAGTCGGCCCTGCGCTCCTTCGTCCTGGTCTTCTCGCTGTCGCTGCACTCCGTGTTGGAGGGGCTGGCGGTGGGCCTGCAGGAGATCTACGTGGCAAGGCAAGGCAAGTTTATCTATACAGCATCTTTCAACACAAGGCAAAAGCAAAGAGAATAGAACAAACATAAAACAAGCTAATCGTGTACTTTTACTCCACTACATGTATTTAATACATTTAGTTACTTTTCTACTAGAGTAACATTTTGACTGCAGGACTTTTACTTGTAACAGAGTATTCCTACACTTTGATACTTACTTTATCATAGAGTAGGAATACATTGTGACAAGTAAAGGTAAAAGTACTTAAGTACAACATCTGACTATGTTTCCCCTCTCTGAACTGAATGCTTCTTCCCCATGTTCAGTTCTGACTCTGGGGCTGATGGTCCACAAGAGCATCATCTCCTTCAGCCTGGCCTGCACGCTGTCACGGGGCCGGCTGCGGCTCCCCCTGGTGGCCGGCTGCCTGCTGCTGTTTGCCGCCATGTCGCCGCTGGGCATCGGCCTGGGCTCGGCGCTCTCGGAGACGAAGGCGCCCCGGCAGCACCGGCTGGCCCGCTGCACGCTGCAGGGTCTGGCGGCGGGAAGCTTCCTCTACATCACCTTCATGGAGATCCTGCCGCACGAGCTGGGTTCCGGAGGGAACCGCATCCCCAGGGTGGCCTCGCTGCTGGCCGGCTTCGCCTTGGTCACCGCCGTGCTCTTAATCAAACTGTAATCATCGCAGGGAGTTCAGCAGGTTAATCTCCACATATTAACACCACTTTATTTCTGAAGTAAGAAGCTAATGTTGGGCTATAAAGGAACTACAGCACGGTCACATGACTTCACGTCACCACCGCTAAGCTAAAGGTGGCTAATGTTGGGCTATAAAGGAACTACAGCACGGTCACATGACTTCACGTCACCACCGCTAAGCTAAAGGAGGCTAATGCTGGGCTATAAAGGAACTACAGCACGGTCACATGACTTCACGTAACCACCGCTAAGCTAAAGGTGGCTAATGTTGGGCTATAAAGGAACTACAGCACGGTCACATGACTTCACGTCACCACCGCTAAGCTAAAGGAGGCTAATGTTGGGCTATAAAGGAACTACAGCACGGTCACATGACTTCACGTCACCACCGCTAAGCTAAAGGCGGCTAATGTTGGGCTATAAAGGAACTACAGCACGGTCACATGACTTCACTTCACCACCGCTAAGCTAAAGGTGGCTAATGTTGGGCTATAAAGGAACTACAGCACGGTCACATGACTTCACGTCACCACCGCTAAGCTAAAGGTGGCTAATGTTGGGCTATAAAGGAACTACAGCACGGTCACATGACTTCACGTCACCACCGCTAAGCTAAAGGAGGCTAATGTTGGGCTATAAAGGAACTACAGCACGGTCACATGACTTCACGTCACCACCGCTAAGCTAAAGGAGGCTAATGTTGGGCTATAAAGGAACTACAGCATGGTCACATGACTTCACGTCACCACCGCTAAGCTAAAGGTGGCTAATGTTGGGCTATAAAGGAACTACAGCACGGTCACATGACTTCACGTCACCACCGCTAAGCTAAAGGCGGCTAATGTTGGCCTTGATGCTTTTAGTAACTCATGTTAGCAGAGCTGAATTGTTTAGGATTTCAAAACAATAGTAAGCGCTCTGATAGTGCTACGTTCTTATGATTGCTGTGATTAATAAATGTATTTCATTGTGGATCCGTGGCCTACAGGCTGATATACTGCAGCCTGCAGATGAGACGTTTGGGGAACTTCAGTCAATTGGAGCGTCCTCTGCTAGTCTGTACAGGTCAGAATATTCCGGGGCCAATAATTAAGGGAAGTCTTAGTCCCTGGTTTTGCATATATTTTTGGACAGTGTGCTTCATTTGATTAATTCTCCATATGTTTTTGATCATTTTTGCATCTTCTTGTTATGTTTCATGGGGGTTGTTTTGTCTTTGTATTTAGGGTGTGTAGTGGTTTCTCATGATCTTTTGTTGTTGTCGTTTTCAGGTTTTTGTTATCATCGTGTGTTTCTTTGTGGCAGTTAGTCTACTTTTAGTAGTTTAGCACCTCCTTGGGTTTGTTTGTCGCTTTCTGTAGTTGTTTTCTGTCTGTTTTTAACACTTTTTGGTCTACTTTGTGTTTGTTTCTGGGTTTTTGGATTGCGGTGGTGTCTGCGATTGTTTTGCATCTCCCTTCGAGTCATCATAACTTGATTTCTTCTTTTTGTGGTGGTTTTCCGCATCTATAGTCGTTGTGTCTTTTTATAAACCTTTTTTAATTGTTCTGTGGTTTAGCACCTCCTTGTGGTCATTTTGTGTTTATTTTGCAGGTCTTTATAGTCATTTTTCTGAAGTTAGTATGCCACATGACCCATCCATCCATCCATCCATCCATCTTCTCCCGCTTATCCGTGGTCGGGTCTCGGGGGTAGCAGTTCCAGCAGAGAGCCCCAAACGTCTGACTGGGGGATCCCAAGGCGCTCCCAGGCCAGCGAAGAGATATAATCCCTCCACCTGGTCCTAGGTCTACCCCTTGGTCTCTTCCCAGCTGGACGTGCCTGGAACACCTCCCTAGGGAAGCGCCCAGGTGGCATCCTAACTAGGTGCCCAAACCACCTCAACTTGACCCCTGAATCACTAATTGATAAAGCAGGAGCTATACACTAAAAATGGAAGCAGAAAATATATAGTTTATACGTTCAATAGATGGTTTTTAATAACATCACATCATGTTTCTGTTGAAGTTCTTACTGGCTCGAACAAACCCCTCACGTGATCTTAGTGTGAAAATATCTACGATAAAAAGCTTTGAGTTTGTTTCGGTGTGAAAGCGTGCTGACCGATCTGGAGACAGACGTGAGGTTATTGAACGGAACCAAATGCACTCTTTCTCCTCTGCTGCTCGTCTCTCTGCAGCTGAACAGATATTACACAAAGAAAACCTTGCATCTGCTATTTAAAGACCTGCTGTGATTTACTTTACTCTCAACTTGCTTTGACAGGATTTCATGAACGGTCATTTTTTGCATCAATCATCAAATATGTGACGACAAATATTAATATGTTTTAGACACTTAGAAATGTATTTTTGTAATTATAGCACCAAAGAATTTCAACCAGTCATTCTAAGGACTACATTATTTTTATCATGTCCAACATGCGCTATATTTTGTATTGTGATGAAATGTGAAAGACTGACTTTAACGTAACGTATTTTTCAGTATCAAACAGTGACTGAGATTCTCTATTTTGTACTTTTAAATAAAACATATTAAAACAAAAGATATTTTCACAACCTTTTTCAGGTTTCAAGATGTATTTGGAAGGGTCCTTATTCTGCTGGTGTATATCAGTATGTAGTGTCTCTACTTTAAAGAGTCCTCTCCTGCTGATGTTCAGGTGTATATCAGCATGTAGTGTCTCTACTTTAAAGAGTCCTCTCCTGCTGATGTTCAGGTGTATATCAGTGTGTAGTGTCTCTACTTTAAAGAGTCCTCTCCTGCTGATGTTCAGGTGTATATCAGTATGTAGTGTCTCTACTTTAAAGAGTCCTCTCCTGCTGATGTTCAGGTGTATATCAGTATGTAGTGTCTCTACTTTAAAGAGTCCTCTCCTGCTGATGTTCAGGTGTATATCAGTATGTAGTGTCTCTACTTTAAAGAGTCCTCTCCTGCTGATGTTCAGGTGTATATCAGTATGTAGTGTCTCTACTTTAAAGAGTCCTCTCCTGCTGATGTTCAGGTGTATATCAGTATTTAGTGTCTCTACTTTAAAGAGTCCTCTCCTGCTGATGTTCAGGTGTATATCAGTATTTAGTGTCTCTACTTTAAAGAGTCCTCTCCTGCTGATGTTCAGGTGTATATCAGTATGTAGTGTCTCTACTTTAAAGAGTCCTCTCCTGCTGATGTTCAGGTGTATATCAGTATGTAGTGTCTCTACTTTAAAGAGTCCTCTCCTGCTGATGTTCAGGTGTATATCAGTAAGTAGTGTCTCTACTTTAAAGAGTCCTCTCCTGCTGATGTTCAGGTGTATATCAGTATGTAGTGTCTCTACTTTAAAGAGTCCTCTCCTGCTGATGTTCAGGTGTATATCAGCATGTAGTGTCTCTACTTTAAAGAGTCCTCTCCTGCTGATGTTCAGGTGTATATCAGTATGTAGTGTCTCTACTTTAAAGAGTCCTCTCCTGCTGATGTTCAGGTGTATATCAGTATTTAGTTTCTCTACTTTAAAGAGTCCTCTCCTGCTGATGTTCAGGTGTATATCAGTATGTAGTGTCTCTACTTTAAAGAGTCCTCTCCTGCTGATGTTCAGGTGTATATCAGTATGTAGTGTCTCTACTTTAAAGAGTCCTCTCCTGCTGATGTTCAGGTGTATATCAGTGTGTAGTGTCTCTACTTCAAAGAGTCCTCTCCTGCTGATGTTCAAGTGTATATCAGTATGTAGTGTCTCTACTTTAAAGAGTCCTCTCCTGCTGATGTTCAGGTGTATATCAGTATGTAGTGTCTCTACTTTAAAGAGTCCTCTCCTGCTGATGTTCAGGTGTATATCAGTATGTAGTGTCTCTACTTTAAGAGTCCTCTCCTGCTGATGTTCAGGTGTATATCAGTATTTAGTGTCTCTACTTTAAAGAGTCCTCTCCTGCTGATTGTTCAGGTGTATATCAGTATTTAGTGTCTCTACTTTAAAGAGTCCTCTCCTGCTGATGTTCAGGTGTATATCAGTATGTAGTGTCTCTACTTTAAAGAGTCCTCTCCTGCTGATGTTCAGGTGTATATCAGTATGTAGTGTCTCTACTTTAAAGAGTCCTCTCCTGCTGATGTTCAGGTGTATATCAGTATTTAGTGTCTCTACTTTAAAGAGTCCTCTCCTGCTGATGTTCAGGTGTATATCAGTATGTAGTGTCTCTACTTTAAAGACTCCTCTCCTGCTGATGTTCAGGTGTATATCAGTATTTAGTGTCTCTACTTTAAAGAGTCCTCTCCTGCTGATGTTCAGGTGTATATCAGTATAGTGTCTCTCCTGGGACATGTCTCAATGCCTTTATGTCCCAAAAGCTCTTTATTTTTCTCATACTAGCCTGTGCTGCTGCCGCTTAGAGATTACCTGCCCCTCAGCCTATCGTGTGTGTGTGTGTGTGTGTGTGTGTGTGTGTGTGTGTGTGTGTGTGTGTGTGTGTGTGTGTGTGTGTGTGTGTGTGTGTGTGTGTGTGTGTGTGTGTGTGTGTGTGTGTGTGTGTGTGTGTGTGTGTGTGTGTGTGTGTGTGTGTGTGTGTGTGTGTTTAAATTAAATATGTACCTTTAGTTGATGGGAGCTCCCCTAGTTGCAACCCGGTATCACGGCAAGACGTGAACATGTGACGGTTTACCATGCTGGGAGACGTGAACATGTCACGGTTTCGTCCCCTTCAAACGTGACAGCTACACGGTATTGTTAACCCATGTTAACCAGTGGAGAAATAACCGGAAATACCAAGCAAATGCTGCCCCGACGTAATGATGTATTTTTTAATAGTCACACTCGATTACAGCGATTTTCTTGTTGCCCCAGCTGGTCGACACCTCTTTTAGCAGAAACAAAGGCTACATTAATGTATTAAATCGATGTTAATCCATGCGTGTGGATGTGGAATTAACGGACGTGACGTTGTGCGATTGAGTTGCCAAGCAACAGCTTCGGTTCATGTTCATTTACAAACTATTAAACTACAACCGTAGTTATATTTAAAAACATGTTAGAAGGCCTCACGAAATACTTTAATGCACATTAAAATGTAAATGTGAAGGAATGTGTGTATAACAAAATACATCGGTCATTAAACGAAACCGGAAACAGACGTAGGCAAGATCCTCAGCTCGATGATTGGATGGTTATCCGCAATGCATGCTGGGATTTGGTGTTTATGTGATGTGAAATCTGAAAACGTTTTTTAAAAATACAATAATACTTTATTCCGAGTGTGCTTGCTTTTCTCTTTGAAAGTCGTCACATAACAGCATTGTAATACACGGTTCGGCTGCATTAAATATTACATATCTGCCGTAATTCTCTATTTATAGAGCCCTGCTGAGAAGACTTCTAGACAAACAGGAGAACTGCCGCCAAAACTGAAGATGTGACGTGGATCATAAATATATAAGCAATTATACAACATCTTACATTTCTTTTCACACAATACGTCTCCTTGCAGTATCAACACTATTTCGGCTGACTTTTATATTTGATCCAATTGGTAGATAGGCTGTATTTACACCATAACTGTGCAGAGCTGATAGAAAGGGACACCTGGTGGTCAAAGCACGTTATTGAATTGTATTATTTTATTATTAGATATTAATAGGAGGATGTGCAAAACAGACAAACTAATAAGGCTTAATTTAAACATTAAAGAGTACTTTAGGTTAAGGTCTTATTTTGAATAAGAAAAAAGCTTTAAGAAGAATATGGAGGGATGAAACCCTCTTGAAACCGCAGGTCCTTCCTTCCTGCAGCGGTCAGACTTTACAACCAGCACTGCCCCTAGTAGACCCTCCTACACACACCACAACACAGACTATAACACCCCTTGCTGCTAAATACAAACCAACTTTGTGCAATATGTGCAATATATATATGCCATTAATAACTGTGTAATTTATACCTGGCCACTAAATCAATATATATGCCGTTTTGTTTTTGATCTGTATTTTTGAAAATTATGTAACTTTTTATCTTTTTTTTTAGCATATTGTTTAATATATTATAACTTAGTACTTTTTTAGCATATTGTTTATTTTATTCTAACTTAGTACTTTTTTAACGCATGTAAGATATGCAACACTAAGCTGTCTGTGGCTCTTTCCTGCTGTAACGCTGCACATTTCCCCTCTGTGGAACTAATAAAGGTATTCTGATTCTGATTCTTTAATGGTCACACATGCAGAGCACACAGCACACACAGTGACATTTGTACAGATAAATATTAAGCCTGACAAAGTACTTAACGTCTAATATATTGCTTTCCTGCAATGTTAACTATGTTTAAGCACTTATTTGTTTATTATTTGTTTATTATTAAACTGATATTATACATATGTATTATACTCTTATAAGATGTATGTAGATAGTATAAGAAATGTGCAGAATCAATCAATCAATCAATCAATGTTTATTTATATAGCCCAGTGGTTCTCAAAGTGTGGGGCGCGCCCCCCCCTGGGGGGCGTAGAGGCATGCCAGGGGGGGCGCGAGAGACCTTAAAAAAAGATTTAAAAAAAAAAAAAATCATAATTTGAAAAATTATTGATTCGAAAATAATATGATACAGTACAGTACTATTACGTCTGGGTCTCTGTGTTTCATTAAAGCTCGGCTCTGTGTGTGTGTGTGTGTGTGTGTGTGTGTGTGTGTGTGTGTGTGTGTGTGTGTGTGTGTGTGTGTGTGTGTGTGTGTGTGTGTGTGTGTGTGTGTGTGTGT